CCAATTATGTCATCTCAGTAGAAACTATTAGCAAACAGCCAAGGCGAATTATATTATCTTTATTTTTCAGAGGTAGAATATTATAAATATATACGTATACCGGCGTATTTTCAACTCAACTATCATTTACTGGTTTTCTTTATTAAGGCTCGAGTATCAGTCAAGCGCTTGGAAGAGTTCCTGGGTTTAAAGGAGCTGGATCCAAACTGTGTCCAGAGGATACCTTGTAAGAGACGACATCGTAGCGTACACTTCGACTTTGAGATTACTTTACTGATTTGATCCGTCTTTGGTCTGTGACTTTATTTTTAACTTTTTGTAGACTGGCAGCAGTCTCTCTTGAACAAATTTTTTTTTATTGCTTATTCAAACTAATGACGTTCGTCATTAAGATTTCATAAAATTAATGAGGTTTTATACTCTCACACTTCATAGGCAACGTGCTTAATGCGAGCACGGTTTGTGTCAGAGATGGCGTATTTGGCTGGAATAAGAACGACACTCCAATACTGCGCAGGTTAGAACAGAATAGTATAAAGGTACCCTTTTCTTTTCTTTTTTTTTTGTTCCCCTTTTTTCGACTGTTCTTTTAGTTTGTTAACTGTTTATTTCGTGTCGATGTTGAGGCTGTTTTTCTTTTTACATGCAACACGTTTGTTTGTTTTGCATTTCAGCGTTTCCTTTTTTTGCTGAAAATTTGATTTTTTTTTAATCGCAGCATAAATTTAAATATTCCAAGTGGTTCACTGGTAGCAGTGGTTGGTCAAGTTGGTTGTGGTAAATCTACCCTGCTATCTTCACTTCTCGGAGAAACCGAGAAACTGCGTGGTAGCGTACATGTGGGGGTGAGTGAGTGCTAGGAATCCGCTTGTTTATTCAAGTCTGTAATAAGCAGATTTCTTTTGTGAACGAGGAAAGAATCAAAATCAGTTAACTATTTTAGTATCCCCTATAACACACTCTGTTGGCCTCCTCCTTCAAATTTCGCTTGAGTTATTGCGTTGAATTGCTCTTGAGAACGTACTGTCATCCCAGGGGCGTTTGAAAATGTTGGGAGGGGGTTGGGGTTGGTGGGGGCTAGCAAAGCGTACTATGAGGGATTCGAAAATCGAGAATGAAGTGGTGCGGAACATACTTCCGTGTGCGTAAGAACAAGTTTACTAGTGAAGTTTTCTGTTTTCTTGTAATTTTCCAGGGTACAGTGGCTTATGTGTCGCAGCAGGCCTGGATCCAGAACGCTACCGTACGAGACAATATCCTGTTTAACAGTGCGTACGACTGTGCACGCTATGAGCACGTGATTGACTCATGTTCACTCAAGCCAGATCTAGAAATTCTACCCGCGGGTGATTTAACAGAGATTGGTGAAAGGGTAAGAAGGGAACTTATTAAATAGTTTAGCTGCTTTGGCGAACAAGCAAGATGAAGGCGCAAAACTTCTGTTCTGATTAGCTACCCGAGCGGGCAAGATGAGCCTTTTTCGCCCGCCCTTCCTGCGTTGTTCCCGTAAGGAAAAAGTTCTCTTGATCATATAATTATTAACCATGCTTGTTCGTCCAAGATGAGTAGGTATTAGCCCTCTTCTCTCTTTGATCCATAAGAACGAATGAATATTCAGCTACCTTGACTCGTTCTTCGCTGTCAGCAGGCGTCTTAACAATTCCCGCTGGATACACTATCGAGATGACGTAATACTCGCTTACTTAAATGCATACGCAGCAACAGGTTATTTATTTTAGTTTTGAGTCTCATTACATGACACTGGTTTTTGTTACATCAACAGGGCATCAACCTGAGTGGAGGTCAAAAACAGCGTGTCAGCCTGGCAAGAGCGGTTTATTTTGACGCTGATATTTATTTGCTAGATGATCCGCTCAGTGCTGTTGATGCTCACGTTGGGCGAAAGCTGTTTCGTCACGTGATCGGAGCCAGTGGAATTCTCAAGGAGAANTTATTTTAGTTTTGAGTCTCATTACATGACACTGGTTTTTGTTACATCAACAGGGCATCAACCTGAGTGGAGGTCAAAAACAGCGTGTCAGCCTGGCAAGAGCGGTTTATTTTGACGCTGATATTTATTTGCTAGATGATCCGCTCAGTGCTGTTGATGCTCACGTTGGGCGAAAGCTGTTTCGTCACGTGATCGGAGCCAGTGGAATTCTCAAGGAGAAGGTCAGTTTGAAATGATGGCTGGAAACGTCTTAGGGTTGATGAAGTCAGTTCCCATGCCATTTGTAATTTGGGAAATGTTAAAGAAACCGTGCGTTAAAGGCTCTTTTCAACAATTTAACTCTCCATTCGTCTTGTTTATTTGTAGACACGCATCCTAGTTACGCATGGTATCAGCTTTTTGCCTCAAGTCGATCATATCATCGTTCTTCATGACGGAATTGTTTCCGAGGTAACGGAATCAGTAAAAGACGTATTTTCCATCGTCGCTTTTCTCTCTGTTTTTGAGTTAAATTAACTGTTTACGCATTCCTTTTCAGGAAGGCACCTACGCTGAGCTATTGAAAAACTCGGGCGCCTTTGCGGATTTTCTGCAAACATACAGTTCCGAAGAAAACAGTGGTTTGTGCTGCTTATCTGTGCATATGTTTTGTATAACCTTTCTCTATAAAACGCTTCAGTGGTGGACTCATACTCTTTGTGACGTCACCCAGTTTTCGTCTTCCGATATGTCAAGCAAATAATGCTAATAATGGATAATCCAGAATCAAATTTATGTTTGAGTTCTATCAAATGTTTTGCTAGGTATACTGAACTATTTTTCTTGGGGTCCAGGAAGTTAAATCGGTTATAGATACATATACCTAAGATAAGTTAAGTCTCCAGTCTAGTGATTTCATTCTTTTTCTTAACAGAAACAAATGCTACCGAAGACATTGACGATGAACAGAAATCTTTCGAGAAAGACACCGGTCCACCTCCCGGAATAGAAAAGAGAGACAATACCAACGACGATGTTGGCAAAACAATTACAGTGGAAAGAATGGAGAGAGGACGTGTAAGTTGCCCTTTGCATCCGCTTTGTAATAGATATGTGGGCATATTATTATGTAAAGTTCAGTATTGTAACTTTTTTAATTCTTAGATATTATAATTTTCTGTCTCTCTAATATCTCTAAAGTAGTTGTAGGGAGAGTTCGGAGCCGAGAATTTAATACAAGGCGAACGTCTTATACAACAGGAGCTTTACTGATAGAAGTCGTACAAGCTGTGGGTAGGTAGGACTGGGGGTGTATAAGCGGGCTGATAGTGGATTCAATAAGCGTCTTTTATTACATCTCAGCCTGTTTTAAATTCAGTCTTAAAAAGTGCATGTGCTGCGCTCGCTGCGCGCTCATAACAAAATCTAATCTGGACTCTTTGTCTTGTCTTCTGATCAACAGATAAAGCTTTCCTTATTGCTGTCCTACATCAAGTCTACAGGAATACACTGGTTTTTATTTTCTCTGTTGTTCTTTACTGTCATGGAAGCGTGTACAGTTGGCACTGGGATATGGCTGGCATATTGGAGTTCAGCAAAAAACACAACGCGTGCGCAGAGAGACTTTTACCTCACAGTATACGGTGGCATAGGCGGAGGACAAGCGTTATTTAGTCTATTATATTCGCTGATGTTGTTACTTGGCGCGATCAGAGCTTCTCGAACACTTCATCGGAAGCTTATTGTGAATATCTTGCGATTGCCTATGACATTCTTTGACGTTACACCGCTTGGAAGAATAATGAATCGGATTTCAAAAGACATATATGGGATTGATGTCACAATCCCTAACTCACTTCGTTCTTTTTTTGCGATGTTCTTTGATGTTTTGGGGATGTTAGTAGCTGTTAGCTATGCCACACCCATTTTCCTGGCTGTTTTACCGCCGCTTGGTGCGTTATACTTCTATATTCAGGTAGGTCTAGTAAGTGTATGCGTTACAAATCTTACACCACTTATATTGCGTGACAAATGGAGTAAAGTAAGTGCCGCGGAATTTATGTTAGGGGCTGTTTGCATGGAGGTGGGGGACCCCAGGTAGGTGAGGTAAGCCCCTATGGGTCACCCCCCTATCATGTAGACGTGGTTTAATTAAAACGAGAGATTATATGGACAGGCGGGTCACCCCACCCAAGCGGGTTACGTCACCCACCTGGGGTCCCTGGGTTCCCTCACTTCCATGTAAACAGGCCCTTAGAGACGAACAGAGTTTCGTCCATGGTAGATAAATCGGCTAAAGGGTATTATCCTTGTTTGGCTGCAGATTTGTTTTTTTAGGCCCAATTTGTCTTTTTGTTTAAACTTGCACAATGCAAGTGCGTGCCGGATAATTGTTTTTATCTAAAACTATTCTATTTTATCTGACCGGTCAAGTCCAAACAGATATCGGTTATAAGAATTTTTTAATACTAGCTTTGCATGTTTTTTCCTCAGAGAGTGTATGTAGCGACCTCTCGACAACTGCGAAGGATTGAATCAGTCAACAGATCTCCAATCTACAGTCATTTTCTAGAAACAATTAACGGAGCCACCACCATCCGGGCATTTTCACAGCAGCAGCAATTCATCCGGGATAATTATAGAAAAGTGGATGAAAACCAGGTGGCTTACTACTTGGGTGTGTCGGCTAACAGGTAATAATCATCCATCATGATGTTTACTGTCTGATTTGTTTCAAGACTGGTTTGACTCGCAGGTGGTAATTAGCCCAACATCGCTTTTTAACTCCTTTTGAGGCAATGTTGCACAACAAGTTACACGTTTTTGTTGCCCGTTTCTTGGAAGTGTGATAAAATGAGTCCGTTATTTCTGCATCTTTGCTCTTATTAATAACAGTTCTCGTTATGTTATTAAAATTGTGATTAGAGAGTAAGGAAGGGCTGACAGTTGTAGACCTCTTAGACTAGGTTGATCCTAGCGTGGTTTTTTTTTTTCGGTTTCATAATGATTCCGGCTGAAACACTATGGTAACGGGTTTCTTTTGCCGTTTACTCCAAATGGGTGTGTCCGAAATAAAAACGTCCGGGTTTGGTCGGAGCCTAATGTGAACAGTTTGTATCCAAATGGATTAAATAATGTGTATGAATGGATGCGAATCAGTATACAGTAAGTGTAATGTATCCGGAAAAATCTGGTTTTACAGTGCGAACACTAAAACCGGGCCATGCCAATTAAATTCATAAATTTGAGCGTTGTTTCCTAAGAGGTCAGGTACGTTCAAACGGTTATTTCAGAGGTTGCGCAGTTGAACCTTGAATTTTATTGGCCTGTTAGCAACAAAACTTGATAATCTTTTGTTTTCAGAAAGCATTGTGATTGGACAATCTTCTCCCAAGTGTCCCGGTTTGAGCGTTCGCACTTTAAGGTTCCTGTGCCGCTTGCTCGTTTTTCTTTGGCCCCAAATTTTCTTTTATAAAATTAATAAATGAAGTGTTATTTTTATTACCCATAGGTGGCTCTCTCTGCGTTTGGAGTTTATTGGGAATTGCTTGATCTTTTTTGCTGCTTTATTTGCTGTAATCAGCAGGGATAGCATCGCAGGTGGCCTAGTGGGACTCTCTATATCATATGCGCTGCNGGTTTCATAATGATTCCGGCTGAAACACTATGGTAACGGGTTTCTTTTGCCGTTTACTCCAAATGGGTGTGTCCGAAATAAAAACGTCCGGGTTTGGTCGGAGCCTAATGTGAACAGTTTGTATCCAAATGGATTAAATAATGTGTATGAATGGATGCGAATCAGTATACAGTAAGTGTAATGTATCCGGAAAAATCTGGTTTTACAGTGCGAACACTAAAACCGGGCCATGCCAATTAAATTCATAAATTTGAGCGTTGTTTCCTAAGAGGTCAGGTACGTTCAAACGGTTATTTCAGAGGTTGCGCAGTTGAACCTTGAATTTTATTGGCCTGTTAGCAACAAAACTTGATAATCTTTTGTTTTCAGAAAGCATTGTGATTGGACAATCTTCTCCCAAGTGTCCCGGTTTGAGCGTTCGCACTTTAAGGTTCCTGTGCCGCTTGCTCGTTTTTCTTTGGCCCCAAATTTTCTTTTATAAAATTAATAAATGAAGTGTTATTTTTATTACCCATAGGTGGCTCTCTCTGCGTTTGGAGTTTATTGGGAATTGCTTGATCTTTTTTGCTGCTTTATTTGCTGTAATCAGCAGGGATAGCATCGCAGGTGGCCTAGTGGGACTCTCTATATCATATGCGCTGCAGGTATTCTCTCAGCCCAAGTAACGTTTCCAATAACTAACTTCTTGGTTATAATAAACGATGCGATCGTGTCCGTTAAAAACCATGGCCATTGCATTTTCTAAGCCATTTCCATTTCAAATGTCTTTTTCTTTTTTGTTCCTCAGTCTACTTCTGCCAATACGTTACATAGAATCAGACATTCTGTGTTTTCCCTAGAGTCTACCGTTCAATGGCTTTTTTTTTTAAAATAAAAGTTCATTTCAAATTGAACCATATTTTTTCGTGTTTTCCATCCATGTCCTTGCTTCCTGATTTTGCCATATACTTTCCTTTTTTGTAAGTGATAGCCGTTTTGTACACTTTCTAAGTAGGGTTTATGGTTTCACAAGCAGGAAACTCACAACAAAGGCCTTAGGTTTATGTATTTCAAGACGTTTTCTATTCGCAGATCACTAACAAATTGAACTGGATGATTCGCATGACAAGTGAACTAGAAACCAATTTGGTGTCAGTGGAAAGAGTCAGAGAATATTCTGAGACACAAACAGAGGTAATACATCAACGAGGATATCAGTCTTATTTTACATTACATAAGCCACTTTCCACCAACGTTGCCTTGGTTCCCATTCGAGTCACTCCATTTTCACCATATTTTGGACTTTTTCAGGCCGAAAGGATAGTTCCCGAGAGTCGGCCTTCCCGTGACTGGCCTGAACAGGGCGTCGTAAAGTTTGATAATTTTCAGTTGAGGTACAGAGATGGTCTTCCTTTGGTGTTAAAAGGGATAAGTGTCATCATCAAGCCAGCTGAAAAGGTATATCATCCAATGCTATAAATACCCACTATATTTTCCTTTTGTTTTCGCACGACAACATGCTGGAGCTATTTGTTTGATTTCAACACCAAACTCAAAAATAATTTTACAAATAACCTTTAAAAATAGCTACACTTTTTGGCTTTCTCCGTTTAGGATTTTTAACTTTTCGTTTTTTTTGTCATGAATGACTGTCTTTGTTTTAGTCGCTTTCTCGGTTGCACTTATGTTCTCCTACAAACACTGCCAAAGGAAATTCAAGAGGTCTTACTAGCTGTCTATTTCGACTTACAGATTGGCATTGTGGGTCGCACAGGAGCAGGCAAGTCTTCACTTACTTTGGCTTTGTTCCGTATTCTGGAGAGAGCTGGAGGAAAGATTGTCATAGACGGGATAGATATCTCTACGATTGGACTTCAGGATCTGCGATCACGACTCACGATCATTCCACAGGTAATGACATAGAACAATCATACAATATTCTTAACCCTTCATTAACTGTGAGTGTCAACTGCGCATGATCTACTTGACTGAAAACGAACGCACACGAACGCACGGCTGACTTCTTGAAGAACCTTTCTTCTTCGTCCAATCACGTTCCACTCTCTCAATTGTGTGTTATTCACAGGAACCTGTTCTTTTTTCTGGGACACTTCGTGTGAACTTGGATCCGTTTAATAAACACTCAGATGAAGAGCTGTGGAATGTACTTGAAGTTAGTCACCTGAGAAAATTTGTTTGCGGATTAAATGGAGGTTTACAACACACAATAGCCGAAGGAGGAGAAAACCTGAGGTATTAAAGCTACCTTTATCTGTTTAATTTTTTCGAAGCTTTTCAAAGATCCCCATCACGGCTACCAAAGCCACACAAATCACTCAAAAATTCTCACTATCAAAGATGCTTCATTAAGTAGTCTCTCCTAAACAGTCTTAGTAGTTTTCATCAGATGTTTCTTTGATATTTCTAAGTATAATAATCCACGCAATGGACAAAATCGTTTTGTTACCGCTCTTGAACTTAATCAGCAATGAAAAGTTTATCATTTATAACCCCTCAGCAAAAATGCTATCGGGGAGTTTCTGTTGTCATGTGATGAGCCACTTTGGTTGATTTATTCCAGCGTTGGTCAGCGGCAGTTGGTATGTTTAGCACGTGCGTTGCTTCGTAGAAGTAAAATCCTTGTTCTTGATGAAGCCACAGCCGCGGTGGACCTGGAAACTGATGAACTCATTCAACAAACGATTCGGCGGGAGTTTGCTGACCGCACGGTGCTCACTATTGCTCACAGGCTCAACACCATCATGGATTACGATCGGTAAGTCACTGCTTCCAGTCTGGGCCCTGCTGTGGTCCAGATAAAAAGACTGGGGATTTTTAAAGACATCTTGCTTAAAAGTGACCAAAAATTTCCCTTTTTGCTGGAATCAGCTATGCGCTCTCTGGTTCTCTTTCCATGAAGGCGCTTACGAATATCCCGGCATCAAGGCGAAAGTTCACGAGAGAAGTAGCTTTATTTGTTGGCTGTGCGATTTCGGGGCAAGAACCTTTTCTCATTGCAAGAATTAGAACTAGTGAATATATTTTATGTTGATTGGATAGACAGACATTTGCAAAGCCAACAATCTCTGTGGGGATAACAAGATTCAATGGGAAATGGACATTTTTTTTCAATGATGTGCTTTTTCCACAGTTGAATTCATTGCTGAAAAGTAAAAAGATCGCGATAAGTATTCTGACAGCAAGGAACTCGTATTTACGGCTTGTTTTTATATCTTTTTCAGGGTATTGGTGCTAGACAACGGTTTAATTATGGAATTCGGCTCACCCTCTAAACTCCTAGATCTGAAAGGTTATTTTTACTCCATGGCCTGCGACGCAAGAGTTAATGTAACGTCAATCAATTCAGATAGTTGACAAGATATGTTTTTTTGTGGGAGGAAAATTATGTTTCTTCTCCAGCTATTTATTTGTTTATAAAAACTAAGGAATTAAAAGAAAGGCTCCACAAACCAACGACGTGTGAGAGATAGAAAGTAAAACGCTTCGCGCGTGCGCTTTTCACAGAACACTCTCGAAAGCCCCGAAATGAAGTGCGGTAGATCAGCTTCCAAAGTTGTCTATTTATAACCTCTTGTTAGGAAAACTTCGTGTCGNTACTTAATCAGGATATCGATTTTATCAATTTTTGTCTTAAACGAGGTATCTTTTCTTGGACGATAAACAGCCTGTGCGTATGTTCTACGAACTAAGCTACGTGTCTGTTGATCAAGATGTAAACAGTTTTGTGATTGCCAATGGATTAAATAAGGAAGAGTTTCGATATTTATTACTGTCTTACACAGGGTATGGTTTCGGGTTAAATGTCTTAAACAGGGTATCAAAAATCGGAATTCTGTCTTAAACAGGGTAGGAAAATCAGCGATTTTTGTCTTAAACAGGGTCAGGGTATGAGGGGCCGGGCCGCACCTCCCCACCCAAGGATATATCGAGTACCCCCCCTCCCCCCGGTGTAAAAGTGACCGGCTCATTGCAGGGGTAAATTCCCCTGCAGTGATTTGGACGTATCTACTCTTGGTTACAAACCTTTCCGCTGGTGATTGGTTGCTTACTACACAGTTTACTCAGTCTCCACCTTTCGCACCATAGGTACCCCAGCCTCGAACGAGGAGCGTCGGCACGCACTTTAGTACTATTTTTTATGTAACCTACGTACATATATATAGCGAAAAAGAAAACCGTTTTCACAAAAACTCACAAAAATGGCCATAAATATAGTCGGCGACCACACAGGAAAGAAGCAATTCTCATCGTAAGGCAGGGTAAGGTAAGCTGCCCTTACGTTGCTTGGATCTCGTCATAGGTGGGGCCAGGCGAGTTACAGGTTTTTTCTCGTTTCAAATTTGTTTCGTCCCTTGAAATGTTTTAGTTAGACATCCTGGCCTTAGTTCTTATGTTACAACGTTCTTACAAGTCTTTCTTGCAATTAAGTGCACTGTTCGTTGACCAGCTTTCGTCGGTGTTGGTGGTCTCTGCAATGATATGTTTTCATTTTTATGAAGATCACTATCTGGACTTTGATCTCAAGCCATGGTTCATTTTTTGCATTTTTTAAAAAGTATTTTACTATTCCACTGCACTCACTTGAGAAATATCTTCAATTGACTGATGATAAGAAATAACTTGAAGGAAAGTAACCAGACTGTTACGTGAAATGGAAGTTTTCTAGGTGACCTTTTCTTCTCTTTGGACCTAGACGCCCTCTTCAGTCACAAGAGGCTTGGCTGCTTGGATGCTTTTACAATAGTCCCAGTACCTCTCGCTTTTAGCTATTCCTATTGTTATCTCTTTTTCTTGACGGTTGCAAATAATATTTTTTGTTTCTGTTTCCTTTTTGCTTTATCAATTTTCATATGTTTTAAGTAATTATTTACACGCGATGAAACATGAGCTTAACAGGAAGGAAGGTGTTTCATTGGTTCGATAACCTTGGGGCTTCTCCGGTCTCAAGTGTCATTACGCTCATGCACCGCCATCCGGTCCCTCCCGGCCTGCCAGCTTAATACCGGTCAGTTGGTAAGTGATACTTTTCATTTCTTATTTTAACATCGAACTACGTAGATGGTGCCAAATGCCGGCCTGGCGAGAAGTGCAGAGATTGTTATATACTTGATTTAACGGTGACTTATTTACATTCTTAGTTGTGATACAGCTTGATTGCGATAGGTGGTCTGAGGCAGGTAACCTTTGGATGTTATTGAGTTATTCGATCTCTTAAAATCACATGACGTGACTTTCCATTCCAAAAAAGCGCTGATATAGCTTGTCACCCCATCGTAATTTTAAAAGCTCAAAAAGGAGAGTAAAATGTCTGCACAACCCTATATCGATGTGCTGTGGTTCAATTCTATCCTTGGTTTTTGTTTTTCCTTTGTTCTAGCCACAGGTCGCCCAAGCTTACTATGAGAGCCCTGAACAACATTATTATCAACATTGGGAAAATGTTGTCATATGAATAATTAATTAGCTAAGTGGGATAATGTTGTTCAGGGCTCTTATAGTGAGCTTGGGCTACCTGTGTTCCAGGGCTTGGTACTACAGTAATGAGTTTGAAACAAGAGGACATAAACTTCAAACCAGCGAAGAAATCGAACCACAACATTGCCAATAAACCAAAATGATAAAGCTGTAAACATAAACCGAATTGTTAGTGTACAGGCCATCTGCCTCAGAGTTGATTCATGTGCTGCGCGTGATTTGGCGGAAGTTAAGGTGTCCTTGAGTTCCTGAGGTTTGACCTTGGTCATGCCAAAGAAAAAGGCAAGAACCTTTGCTAACGTTTTCTCTTTCCTCTCTTGTGCATAAACTGGAACAGGTGCAAGACCCATGGGGGGTACTCCAGACTTCAAGTGATGGGGATGATCAAATAATTTTTTTGGGTTTGTAATTTTTGATTCCAGGATGTTTTTTTTTTGCGGGGGTGGGTAGGAAGATTAGGTAACTATTTTTTTGGTGGCTTGGTTTAAGTAGGGACTTTTTTGGGGATTCAAAACAATCTAAAGATCACAGCTTAATTGACAGATGACCAATAACATTGCAACATAATTGACCAGTCAGGTCAATAACCAGAGTATAATACCATCAACTGATGTGATATATACAACTCCTTTGACTCTGAAGATGACTACCACACAGGTTGTCGAAACGTCAGTCACTGTCAACAACAACAGTCCTATTCAGGACTACGTTCACCTGGATGATCAAACTCAACCTACTTTTGAAATGACTCCTGGGTTCAAACCTTTCACAAATCTAAATATGGTTGGTAGTGCCAGCGTATCCCAGCTACAAACACAAATTTCGGGTTTTGATTTTCGCAACCATTTGATCATCCCCATTATGTGAAATCCAGAATACCCCCTTGAGGTGCAAGGCTTTGCTCTTTAAAGTAAAATTGAAGGGTGCCCAGCACTTGATTTGTATTGAATAAACCAAGATTTTCTAGTCATTCAAGAGCAATAACCGGGAGGTTATCAACATACTGCAGTTAGTAGTAAATGTAGTATTTTTTGTTGTTTATTGCAAGGTTCGCTGTATACACATGACCTTACAGCTATACATATAGTCCTAGATAAGGACTACCTGTTAAAGTTTCTTTGATGGCAGCAGCAAAACAGAAAGTAAGGGTGATAGCTGTTGAAGACTTTGATCCATTCCAGCATGAAAACAGCATCTTAACGTACGAGCTTGTAAAAGATGCCCCAAAGCAAGAGGCCCAGTTATCTTTTCACAAGGGACAGTGCTTTGAGATTCTCACCAAGAATGTAAAAAGCTGGTGGTTATATGTGAGATGTACCACAAGTGGCAGTGAAGAAGGGTTTATACCAAGCACTTTTGTTGTTCCATTAAAAGAAGATCTGGGTGGTGATAGGTTTGTGCTTGAAAAGATTTGCTTTTTTACTTTTTTAGTTGGTTGCACATGTTAAAGACACTGTATACTGTTCTTAAATTTTAGGCTCAATCATCTTATGGATTGTGGTGAAGTATTACCAACAATGGTTAATAGACAGCTTGATTTAAAGTTTTTCCCACAAGTAGCAACACTGACAACACCCAATGAAATGACTACGTCTACCAGGGTAAGAAAAATATGTCATTGGTCTAATGACTTAAAGCATTGACGTATTTTTTAATGGCAATTCCTATTTCTTTTCTCCTGTAGAAACCATGTCCTGAAAAAGGAGCCAATTTCTTTTCAAGATTGACATTTTGGTGGCTAAATAGGTAACATCTATTGCAATATTTTAAACCTGA